AACCTAAGGTTCACTCTATCGAGTGCAAAGGGGAGTTAGAGAGGGGTCACTTTCGAGTTCTAACTCTTAAAAACATTTGAGATTCTTGATGGTGGGTTGTTTGCATAGGTGAGAATTGGGATGTTTGGAATTGCGACTTTGATTGGTTTTGAATCTTACAACTTTTTCCCTTAGTCAAAGTAAAAATCCATGTAGTCACACTAATAGGCGGTTATCGGTTTTCTTATCGGTTAACCACTAACCAAAATACTACTAACCGAAACCGAAACCAATAAGGAAGTAGCGGTTATCGGTTAACCATTAACTGACTTTATCGGTTCGGTTATCGGTTAAAACCGATAACCGACTAACCATTTATCACCCCTAGTTTTACTACTAAAATATTGAATGTATATATAGGTGCCATTGATTGTCATTGTGAAAATGATGGTTTGTATTCTCTTTTTCTCCTCTGATGGGACAACAGAGGGTAACAATGGTGTCGACGATGTTGTTGCTTTGTCCGAGAACGATCGATGGGTATCCCAATTCCAAATGTAGGGCCAAAGTGCTTAGCAAACGGATTACACTAATCTCCATACATAATCAGGCGATCTAATTAACCCCACAGCCTTGGCCCTTGGGCTGGTGTTTGTCATCATTCGGAATAATCATATGGGACGGGTAGCTAGCTTTAAATCAATTAACCTTCAAATTGTTCCCAAGAGGAGTGGGTATCCACCATTGATCAAGTGAATTGATTATTATTAACCCATGATTAGCCAGTATAATTAATATGATACTTCATACTTCCAACTCGACTGAAAAGTCTAAGACAACTATAGCGACCATGATAAGTCCTCTTTGATATGGCAGATTGTGGGTGTTGACAACAAAAAAATTGTACTATCTAGTACTTCACATGTAGAGTGTTTGCACATCTTCAATAATTATGAATATAGACAATAGCTGAGTGGTGATGATTAAAGATGTTGTGTATGAACTATGTAAATGTTAATCGTTCCACATAATTTCTTAAGGAAAGCTAAGGACAACTTTGTAGTGAGAAATTTATAATTCTAATAGAATTTGTTGTTCGTTTTTTCCATCTCGAATATAATCGTTTCATGTAGGCTAAGGTCCAATTTGGATAATGAAGATGTATTAACTTTATCAAGTTTTAACAAAGCTAATCTATTATATCGGTATACTTCGTATATGTATGTACAAGATTGTTTGATGATGAATTGTTCTCTGATAAATTTTTAAACATGGTAATTACTAGTGTGAATATCATACATTGAAGGGAATGGTGTGATTTTGACATCATTCACTGTACTAGCGGGTAATTAGTATAAATGGCTACAAACCTTTGCACTTAGTATAAAACGGTCACAAACCTTTAATTTGTAACGGTTCAGTAATAAAAGTTTGAAACTATATAGAATGGTCACTTCTGCTTAATTTGTGACCGTTTTGTATTAATTACAAAGGTTTGTTACCAAGTCCTTATACATTAAAGTTTTGTGACTGTTTTGAGGTCGGATTCGTGTGTTCGTCAAGTATATGATACTAACCAATTGAAAGTAAGAAAATAGGCCGAGTTTTTTCAACCAAAAAACAACTTGTAACCCGTTTGTGAGGCGTCGAATTCCCTCACTGTTGTCCATTGTTTTTCTACGAGTATTGTCATCCTTTGTTACGAGGCGTGCCACTAGTTGACCTAGTTCAACCGGTACCGGTCATGAAACTGGTGTGACACCACCGGTATGACCGGCATGATCGATATACAAATCTCTAAAAGTAAAATGATCTTATCTTAGTGAATTTAATTGATAAAATTAATTTATTATTTATTTTATGAGTTTAAAAGTTAAATGTTGATTTTATTTGTTGGATTCAAGTACAAATGTTTAGGTACTGACGTTAAATGTCGTGTTTAAATATGAGTATTTGTAAATTATTTGTTATATTAACCGGCATGAACCGGCACAAACCGGTATATACCATCGGTCGAACCATTCCACTTGCTAAACCGGCACACTGGCATAAACCGGTTTGACAACTTTGGTTACGATAATACCATTCACATAAATTAACAAAGCCATCATACTTCGATTGGATCGAATTGTGATAGTGATTGATCGTTCAAACCTTTGAACATTATACAAAACGGTCACAAAAAATTTTATTAATTTATAACGACACAGTATCAAAAGTTTGAACTTATATGAAATTGTCGCACTGTTTAATTTATGACCATTTTATTTTAAAACTATATTGTTACAAATTAAAATTAAAAGTTTATCACCTACAGTAATCTCCTTCCATGTCTTATCTTAATTTCTTACGCCATGGAAATGAAGACTTCTGAGCTCTGACAAAAGTAAGTAAGGCATCTTCAATACTTTCATCGTAGGTGGGCTGGGGGGCCCAGACACACTTCTGAGCTCTGACAAGGTCGTTTATTGTGCCACCCACTACCTTCTTCCCGTTCCTTCATATGAAGAAGAGAAACCATGTGATCATACGTGTCGGTGGGACACGTCATCCACGTGGCGGGCTAGAAAACAAAAGAGCCGTCAACAATCCGCTTGCCAACGTTATTGGGCTTGAAGTTGTTGGGCAAATGGGCCTCTCTACCAGTCCCCACTCTCTATTTATCTTTTTCCATGTAACATATAGATATAGTAGGAAATTTAATTCAGTTTTAGGTAGGGTGGAGTTTTGGTTAGTTCGGTTATAACTAGTAATCGATCGATTGGTTATCGGTTAACCGATTTGTCGCTCTCCTTACCGACAATCGTCGAAATAGGAATTTAGGTTTCGGTTATCTCGATTTTTGGTTAACCAAACCATCTCCAAGACCAAAACCATCTCGGCCAGCCTCCAAACACCGACTGAATTTCAGTTATCTCGGTTATCGGTTAGTGGATAACTGGCTGGTTATCGGTTTAACCGAATGGTTAAACGGTAACCGAACCTCCACCCCTAGTTTTAGGATTAAACCTCCAACTATCGATGGCAATTTGAACCGCCATGTCGGGTTTTACTTGACATGATCCGCGATGTTGTGGGTATTATCCGACCCGCAGTAGCGTGAGACGGGACATGAGTATCTATTTCTGACCCGCCCCGCTCTGTTTTTGCCTGGTTCTGGGTCAATTACTTACGACATCCATTCATATATCTCCTATTTTGACTTTTTTTCCAGCTAGTTAGACTTGATCTTTCAACTAAATATACTCAATTACCCATTATATTATCACTATTATTCACTCATGAAGTCTTTTCCTCTTTGTTTTATCGTAAAAATTAAAATTTTACTTGTATTTTTTTCAAATAACATATAAGGGTGGGTCGATCTGGCCCGCCCCGTACCCGCGTGGGTATTACCCGCCCCGACCCGTAATAGCGTGGCGGGAGCATGGATATTGAGGTACCCACCCCGCCCCGACCCATTGACATCACTACCTCCAACGTGATAGTATGATCCCATGATAGTAAATTATGAAACACGCAAGACCTAACAGATCTCAATATCCTAATTTTGATGTTGCGATTTTCATCGGTGAAATAGAGTCTTAAGTCTTGATCAATTGTCCGATCGATCACATTCAAGATTCGTACTAAAACTACACTAAAAAGTAAAGCAAAAACAAGTAAAACACCAAACCTCTACATCGTGATAACAATATGATTCTATAAGCCAAACATATGAGGAATTCAACAAAAATATAACTCGTCTTATGGTGCCTTGAAAAAACAGAACCAGTCCAATCAATCATTTGTAAGACTTGAACCGGAAACTTGTAGATTACACATTTACATTATGCTAGGCTAAAAAGCTCGTTGCTAGGCAGTGAATTCGGTTGAGGTGGGAATCGATAGATGTATTGACGGTCTGTCCTTTACATCATTTCCTCGGATTCGATCTAGCTAGCAGGGCAGCATGTATTATTGAAACTATTAGTTGGTGAGCAACCAACATGTGAGTACGTAGTAGACCGCGGCAGCGGCACATTAATGCCATTCATTGATTGCACATTTTTCTTTGGCCGCATTCATACACCCATTTAAGTTAACTCTACATTTTATGGGCCAATATTGACGACGCTTTTGGCATGCATTATTGATCATGCGCCCCACAAAGAACACTGTGCGGTAGTTGTTAGCACTTCATGATGTTGTTTGGTGATTATACGAAGGCGTATAGACATATGTTGTTACTTGATTTGAAGATAGATTATCTGTTATTATATCTACAGCTTTGAAAAGATAAAAAGTCATTTTGAAAGCTATGTTACTACATTGTATATAAACAGATTAGAAGCTAAGCAAATTCACAAAAATAATGCGTCGTCCTTTATTTATAAATTATTGTTGAATTCACTATATGGTAGATTTGGTATCAACCCAAAATGCATGGTTGGTGATTATACGAAGCCGTATAGGCATATGTTGTTACTTGATTTGAAGATAGATTATCTGTTATTATATATACCTTTTTGATTTCTTGTAATATTACAAATTAACTTTTGTTCAAGTGATACCTTGAATTGATGGAAATCAACAAAATCATGTGTATCCAGCTAATGTGTATGTTTATACGCTTCAATATATTTTTATATTACCAATTTGTGCATAATACATACTATACATATACCAAAAAAAAATTATTCTCACAAAAAAAAAAAAATTATAACTACATATACAATTATTTAGGCCACGCCAGAGGTGGAGAGGCACATGTATTTTGGTATCTAAGCATGTTTTATTTCGTTATTTAATTACTTATCTGGATAAGCACTACTCCACCTATAGAGTAAGGGGAAAAGAGCAACAAAAACGAGAAGAAAGGTTAAAGAAAACGACCTGGCTGCCTTTTATATGCTGACCTTTCTCTTTTTAGTTTTTACTTTTCTTTGTACGTATGTATTTTTCACTGTCTAGATTTTTTTTTACTGTTCACCTTTTAACATTCAACGGGGGAGAAGAAGAAATAGGAGAAAGCGAGAGCCGAGAAGGCAACGGTCCAACGTCCAACGGACACAGTGAAAACGGGGTTGGCGGAATCCAAACGCCGGAATTCACCGCATTTAAACCCGCGGTGTGAGGTCCGTGGCCAACTCTCTCTCTCTCTTGTTGCTACAATTTCCAACAACACTCGCTACCGATATAGGCTTTGGCTGCATTGTCTGAGAATCTGAGTTAGACAGTACTGCTCCTTCCTACCTAGCTTACTCGAGCGGAGAGAGAAAGACTGAGAGAAGAGCAGCCGCCGCCGCCTTCATCGCCACCGGATAAGAAGCAGCGGCGGAGCAATGGGGAGATCCAATTCCTGCTTCAAGATTATCACATGCGGAAGCGATTCCACAGCTGATAAGGATGACATTGACATTCAAGCTCCCGAGGTACCTGTTTTCTCGAGCCTCATTGTTTTCTTTTTTTTCTTCTTCGATTGAGCTTGCAATCTCTTCTTAAAGGATACTCTCAGTCGATCGGTGGTGTACTTCGTTTGATCCGTTTGAGTTTTTTTGTGACTTCGAGCTCTTACTTGAAGCTTCCGAGTAAGAGTAATCCGGGAAGTGGAAAGAGAAAGAAATTGGAAATCGAACTGGTGGAAATTATTTCCCGGTTAGCAACGGAGATCTGAGTCCGTGGAGCTGGATTTACGTGCTTATGTAGATGAACTGTTGGTGAATCTTTTCGTTTACTGGATTTTGGAGTAGGATCTTCCGTTTATTCTATCTGCGTTTACTGGATTTTGGAGTAGGATCTTCGGTTTATTCTATCAGGGGAAGTGTTTGAGGCCTTGGTGATAGTTTCTACTTTCGGGTGGTTTGGAGTTTTGGATTAAAGCTGTCCTGCGAAAGTTGATATGGACGGATCTTAATTCTGACGAATCAATTTTTCAAATATTCGTTTGGGTAGGATGATTTAGGGGTTGTTTTCTCCTTTTTGCCCATTTGGATGCAGCTGAGGCGATTAGAGATAATTTGTCACTATGCTAGATAGTACCGTTGTATGCTTGTTGTTCTAGTGTGTCTATATCTGGGAATCTTGCTTCAACTGTTACGATCCAAGATGTATGGAAGATCGATGTTGTTTAGGGGGAATTTGTTGTTGTCTCCCATGATTCGACAATAGGGAGACTGTGGGCGTGTTTCCCCCCTTCTGTATAGAAACTGAACGGTGTGGTGTGCTTGAACTACTAGTCAAGGGGGCTGGAGACTTGCTGGTGGTTTGCTTTCAGTTGCCCACGTGTTATCACGCGATGGCAAAAGAAAGTTGTGAACTTTTGTTTGGCTTTGGGATGAATGAACTGATTGATAATAAGCATCTACTTCCTTTACAATTAGGTTGTCTATTCGACAAGGGAGGTATAGTGATTTAACTATTTTCAAACTTCGTATACAGAACAAAGGTTCAAGTGACAAGCGCGGGTGGAGTTTCCGGAAAAGATCAGACCGTCATAGAGTTCTAAGCAATAATGTAACATCAGAACCCCCCTCTACAGCAAACAAGGAAAGCATAGAACCTGCCAGTCTTAGCTATCGACAACAGGATGCTCCTTCAGTTCCTGAGAAAATTTCGGTTGCAGAATGCATCGATGAGAAGCCAGCATTGTCAGTCCCGGTGGAAGAGAAAACATCAAAGACCATTACACTCGACCGAGATGAAAAGGAAGCTGATACTCATGTGGAAGACTCGGTTGTTATTATCCTACAGTCTGCGGTCAGAGCTTTTATGGTAAATGTCATTTAAATTTTTCAAGATATGCTCCTCTGATGCTTATTGCTTACCTTATTTTAACATCATTAAGCTTTCTGAAATTGGTGCCACAGGCTAAAAAAGAATTTGTCAGGCTTAAGAGTGTGGTGAAGTTACAAGCTGTTGTGCGTGGCCACCTGGTCAGACAACGTGCTGTGGGAACCCTACGCTGTGTTCAGGCCATTACTAAAATGCAAGTACTTGTGCGTGCCCGTCATGCTCGTAATCGAGAGTCAAACATTGACAATGGGAAAGCTGGGAAAATTGCTTCCTCAAAATCCTCGGTAAACCCATCTACTCTTATTTATTGTTTTACTATCTTGAAGTGATATATCCTAGTCACTACAGCCTGACCAAACGAATGAAGCACAAACTAAGATGGACAGGGGTCGCACATGGTTTGCAGTCTATGGAATCTGTAGTGTATATTCAAAATCCTAGTTTATGTTAACTAACCTTGAAGGAATTGAATGCTGTTGACAAACATTGGATTGTAGTTACCATCTTTCTATTTATGAATTGGAGCAATTTTTCATGTACAGAACAAAATATCTTTTTTGTTTTAGAACACAATCACAAACTATTGTTTTCGGGATGCCAGCATAGTTCTTGAACAATTTCCAACAATCTTACCATAGTGCTCTTCTTGTCTCAGAAAAAGGAACTCTCCATATCTAAACCAACGATAACTTATACTTCACTCGAGAAGTTGCTGAGCAACAGATTTGCTCGCCAGGTATCCTGATGAATCTTTTCTGCTTTCCATGATGCTATTTGCCTTTTGGATATGCTCACTCTACACTCACTGTGAATGCTCTAATCCTCTTCTTTCATATATATTTGCAGCTAATTGGTTCAACACCAAAGTCAAGGCCTATCAACATCAAGTGTGATCCTCTAAGACCTAATTCCTCTTGGGTCTGGTTAGAGAGATGGATGTCTGCTTCATCCGTTGAGCCCACACCAAAACCGGAGCCAACTCCAAAACCAAAGTCCTTCCCAGAAAAGGTTGAAGAAGAGAAGCAAGAGGTGCATGCTGTGGTATCTGAGAGTTCCCTTGTGGTTGAAGTTTCGAGATCCCACATTGAGGAAGCTGTTTCTTCGTTCGAAAATGAAGAAAACCTCATTACATATGATGCAAATGATCCCAAGTTGGAGGCATGCCAAGCATCAACCCATCCTGCAGGAGATAACTCAGAGCAGCCTCAAGGTTCCGTGGATATTACTTATGATGATGTCAAGGAGGCATCAATTCACTCGAGCTCTCGTCTAAGTCAAACATCGCAGTCAGATGTACAAGTTCAACCAACTCAAGAATTTGAGCAACCTGAACCCCCAAAACGATCTTCTATGAAAAGACTTGCCTCAGATGAGTTAGAGACTGAAGGAAATAAATTTGTTTATGGATCGAGGAAGGTAAGCAACCCTGCATTTGTTGCTGCACAGTCAAAATTTGAGCATGGGCTGGGTCCAGCTACCGATTCAAACAAAAGACATAGCCGAGTGCTACAAGATGCAGGACATGAACTTAAACCAGAGAAAGCTTCATCTGAAGAGACTCTTTCCGTAACTAAGGAGCCTCGTACAGCTGAGCATTCAGCCACCCATTTGTCAACCGTGCAATATGGAGATTCTGAATGTGGTACCGAGCTCTCTGTCACCTCGACTCTTGACTCACCTGACATATCTGAAGTTGGAGCATCAGAACTCGAGCACAGGCAAGAAGGGAAAACTTCAGTGGAGGAAACCCACAGCTCTAGTGTGATTAAGAATGCAGGTGAAGAATTCAAGGATGCATCGGAATATCCCTTGCACAGCTCTAGTGTGATTAAGAATGCAGGTGAAGAATTCAAGGATGCATCGGAAGATCCCTTGCCCAGTCCTTCTAATCCTGTTGTCACTCGGTCTGAAGAACTAGATGGTGTGAAGAGTGAAGCTATCATCAACTCGGTCCACTCACCCGAGGTAGAAGTCGAACGAGAACAAGAAGAAGCTGAGAGACTTCCGGAAGCTGCCTCTCCCACCAAAAGCCAAATTACCATCCAGGGGGAGGCCCAAGGAACGCCTGCAAGTCAAGTGTCGGTAACTAAAAGCGAGAAACGTGACAGAAGAGCATCTTCAACCCAGAAAAGGAAGTCATTATCTGCTGGTAACAAAAAGTCTGCACCATCCCCGCAAAGTGAGTCCAACGTGAGGAATAGTGGGAAGCGGAGGAACTCATTTGGCTCGCCTAGACGAGATGACACTACCACCACCAACGACCAAGAGCCACGACCCAGTAATAGCAGCAGCAGCTCCGTCCCACGGTTCATGCAGGTTACGGAGTCCGCAAGAGCCAAACTTCAGGCTAATAATAGCTCTCCAAGATCGAGCCCAGATGTGAATGACCGAGAGTACATCAAGAAGCGTCATTCTTTGCCTGGAGCAAATGGGAGACATGGTTCTCCACGCATCCAGCGGACTACTTCTCAAACTCAACCGGCGGCAAAGAACGGTATGTTCTTCAAACTCATGGCTCCTATTAGCATGTGAGTCTGTATGGTATGAACTCTAACGCTTGGATTGCTTGTCATGTTCCAGAGAAGAAGTGGCAGAGGTGAAGAAATGTGATGGAAGGCAAGGGTTGTTCAGGTAAATTCTCTTCCTTTTTCGGTTGCTTGATGGCGGCGGGACGATTATGTGATATGCGTAGAGAGAAGCGCGAGAGTTTGGAGGAATGGATAGGTGGGGAACCTGGGAAAGCAAGAATGGAGTTTGTGTTTTGTATATTTGCTGGACATGGAAAATTTTATTAACGCACATATTTACCAGAGGAGTATTCCACAGTCGACAATGTTACTTTCATACAGAGTGTTCTGATTGTTTCTTTGTTGCTGTTGTTTGTTCGAATTTCTTTTTGTGTGATAATTGCATTTTCACTACTGTGTGGCTGTGTTTGGTTTAATTTCCTTGGGCTTGATAGTTGATTGTGTTTCTCGTTGTCTTGTTGTAAAGCGGATTTTATTACTGTGTAATAAACTTTCTTAACTTCTACCGCTCTGGCCAACTCTTCTTCTCACCTCCTACTTTCGGGAGGTATTGTAGATTGATCTCACATTTCTTCATATGATTTGTTGTGAAAAGCAGATTTGTTGTTAAGAGAATCAAAAGATACAATCCAACCTGATTTGCCTCAGTTTATTCAGGTTTGTTTTATACACGTTTAGAGGAGAGGTAGTTGAGAGAATACAGGAGAGGTAGTTGAGAGAATACAGGGTAGTGTACAAGGAAGAGGGAACGTGTACAGGAGAGGTGGGCCTAATAATAAAAAGAATGATTTATTCTTTGTCTCTAATACGCCCCCGCAAGATGGAGGAGGTATCAACGACGCCAATCTTGGAGCGCAGAAGAAGATATCGAGAGGCAGGCAATGGCTTGGTGAGAATGTCGGCGAGCTGCTGGGCTGTCGGCACATAACGAACACTGAGACGACCAGCTTGAACAAGTTGGCGAACAAAATGAAAGTCAAGGGCCAGATGCTTCATGCGAGAATGGAACACTGGATTAGCACTGAAGCTAGTTGCACCGAGGTTATCAGAGAAAAGCGTCGGTGGTGCGGAAAGCGGTTGATGGAGCTCCTGCAGAAGATTCTGAACCCATTCCAATTCCGCGGTGGCATGGGCGATAGCACGATACTCGGCTTCAGTGCTAGAACGAGCAACAGTCCGTTGTTTCTGAGAACGCCAGGAGATGAGAGAAGAACCCAAATACACCAGGTAGGCAGAAGTGGAGGTGCGATCATCAAGGTTGCCGGCCCAGTCGGAGTCGGCAAATGCCGTGAGTCGCATAGGAAGAGGAGATCGCCGAATAGCCAAGCCATAGGAGACAGTGCCACAAATATAGCGGAGTAAGCGCTTGAGGCATTGCCAATGATGAGATGATGGAGAATGCATGTACTGAGAGAGCTTATTGACGGAGAAGGCTATGTCGGGACGCGTATAAACCAAATACTGAAGAGCACCCAGGACCTGGCGAAAACGGGTAGCATCCGTGGGTGAAGTACCATCACTGACGGAGAGAGAGACTGTGGATGCGAGTGGTGTGGAGACGGGCGCAGCCTCCAGCATATGAAACCGAGAAAGAATATCAGTCATGTACTTGTGCTGCGAGAGAACATACCCTGTGGCCGTAGGAATAATCTCAATACCCAGAAAGTAATTCACATCACCAAGTTCTTTGAGAGAGAACTTGTGAGCCAGAGCCACTTGGAAGGCGGACAAAGTGGTGGCATCATTCCCAGTGAGCAAAAGATCATCCACATAGACTAGGAAATAGAGGAGGACACCCGAGTTGTGATAGACAAAGAGGGAAGCGTCAGACTCAGTCTTCCGGAAGCCAAAGTCATGGAGAAAAGTACTGAGAGCAGTGTACCAAGCCCGTGGAGCTTGGCGTAACCCATAGATAGCACGACGAAGACGGCAAACATGGTTAGGGTATTTAGGATCAATAAAACCAGGAGGTTGAACCATGTATACCTCATCCTCAAGAGGCCCTTGAAGAAATGCATTGTTGACGTCGAATTGCTTAATAGGCCAATTCTAGGATAAAGCAATGGTGAAAACCGTGCGCACAGTAACAGGTTTGACCACCGGACTGAAAGTATCCTGAAAGTCCACTCCAGGACGCTGATGAAAACTCTTGGCAACAAGACGACATTTGAAGAGATTGATAGAGCCGTCAGAGTGATGCTTAAGCCGATAAACCCATTTGTTACCGAGGACGTTGAAGTGAGGCTGGCATCCCATGTGTGATTGCGAAGTAGAGCAGAGTGTTCGTGGTGTAGAGCAGAGTCCCACTCAGGATATTGCATGGCCTCTTTTACTGAACGGGGCTCAAGTGGTGGTGTACGAGTAGTGACATTGGCTGGAAAAAGCCTTTTGGGCCTATAAATCCCATCTTGAGCCCGCGTAGTCATTCGGTGAGTTCGGAGAAAAGGAGGAGGAGCAGCTGGTCGCTGGACAGTGGGCCGAGGTGATGTGGGCTCGGAGCAGACAGGCTGGGACGGCCCAGCGGAGGATGACGGGCCAGGGGGCACCGGGTGGAGGGGCGCGAGCCCTGGGTCTGGCAAGGGGCCAGTGAGAGAGGATGGCGGGGGCCCAGCGCTGGAGGAGGGACCGTGGGCGGCCTGAATGGGTGTGACCGGCCCATTATCTGGCAGTGGGCCTGGAACAGCTAAGGGCGGAGGCCCAGGCACAGGGGACGGGCCGAGGGCGGCCTGATGAGAGGGCTCGGGCCCAGTCGCTGTTGTTTGGAGCAAGGGTTCTTCGCGCGGGGTGGCCTGAACTGCAGGGGAAGGGGCAGAAGCCAAGGGGGTGTGTCCGGCCGCATGAAGTGGAAATGTAGTGATGGACGGGCCTGCATCAGTGATCTAAGAAGCTACCAAGGAAGAATCTGCAGGAGGGTTAGACAAATACCCAGGAAACGAGTCCTCAACAAAGTGAACATGGCGGGAAAGAAAAACTCGCTGGGATTGAGGATCAAAACACCTATATGCACTCCGCTGAGGACAGTAACCAAGAAACAAACAGGGACGAGAACGTGGATCAAGTTTATGGGAGGAGTAGGGACGCAACCAAGGATAACAAAGGCAGCCAAATATGCGGAGCTTATGATAGTTGGGGCAAATGTTGAAGAGAATAGTATAGGGAATTTGACCACGTAACGCAGAGGATGGCATACGATTAATTAAGTAGATGGCAGTGGAGAAAGCATAAGACCAAAAGATGGTAGGTAAATTAGCATGATGCAGGAGAGTGATACCCGTTTCAACCAGATGGCGATGTTTTCGTTCAGCGAGACCATTATGCTCAAGCGTATGAGGAGGAGTGAGGAGATGTGTAATCCCATGAGTAATGAGTGAGGAGCATAGTTTCTGGAATTCCCCACCACCATCAGAGTAAAGGCGACGAATGGTGGTGGAAAAGTAATTTTCAACCATTGTGCGAAAAGCAAGAAACACGTCAAGAACATCAGATTTTCGTTTTAAGGGATAGTACCAGGTATATCGAGAAAAATGATCAACTATGATTAAATAATAACGAAAACCATCATTGGAAATGACCGGAGCAGGCCCCCAAACATCCGCATACAATAAATCAAATGGTCTAGTGCTGGATAAAGACGAGAGAGCAAACGGGAGTTTATGACTCTTATTGGAGAGACACGAATGACAATGACTACTGACAGCAGAGGAAGATACTGGTAATGAATGTTGGCGAAGTAGACTCGAGAGTGAATGAGAGGAGGGATGACCAAGGCGAGCATGCCACGACGTAGAAGACGTGCGAGTGGTGACAAGAGCAAGCCGAACAGTATCCACATCACTAGGTAGCTCGTAGACATCCCCATTATTTGCCCCTTTCAGCAGTGGCGCCCCCGTGCGAAGATCCTTCACAACAAAACAATCAGCAAAAAATTCCACCGAAATGGGATTAGTTCGACAGAGTTTGGCCACAGAGATAAGTTTGCGCTTGATAGCAGGAGCACAAAGTACGTCGTGTAAATGTAAAGCAGAGTTTGGGAGTATGGAAGACCCAATGTGCGTGATTTTCAAACATGTGCCATCGCTAACAAGTATCTCATCCGGACCATTATAGTCGGAATAGAGAGAGAGAGTGCCTAGATCAGGAGTGACATGATGTGACGCAGCAGAATCAAGCAACCAAGGGGCGGATGGAGATACTTGTTGGCGATGTGCCTCAGTTTATTCAGGTTTGTTTTATACACGTTTACAGGAGAGGTAGTTGAGAGAATACAGGGTAGTGTACAAGAAAGAGGGAACGTGTACAGGAGAGGTGGGCCTAATAATAAAAAGAATGATTTATTCTTTGTCTCTAATACGCCCCCGCAAGATAGAGGAGGTATCAACGACGCCAATCTTGGAGCGCAGAAGAAGATATCGGGAGGCAGGCAATGGCTTGGTGAGAATGTCGGCGAGCTGCTGGGCTGTCGGCACATAACGAACACTGAGACGACCAGCTTGAACAAGTTGGCGAACAAAATGAAAGTCAAGGGCCAGATGCTTCATGCGAGAATGGAACACTGGATTAGCACTGAAGCTAGTTGCACCGAGGTTATCAGAGAAAAGCGTCGGTGGTGCGGAAAGCGGTTGATGGAGCTCCTGCAGAACGCCCCCTCAAACGAAAGCCAACTCATGGTCTTGAAGTTTGCACAGGCCCACCATACCATGTGCTTGAAAGACAACGGTTAATATTGGGGTCGTGGAGATTCGAACACATGACCTTTCGGTTCTAGGCTCTGATACCATGTCATAAACCAGTTGATCCCAATAACTCGAGTTGTTGGGAGAAGGTTATGTTAGATCTTATACCACTCTCTAACATTGCTGGGAGAAAGTTATGCTGGATCTTATACAGGCCCGTGTATGGTACTTAACCACTTCCTTACACGCCCCCTCAAACGAAAGCCGACTCATGGGCTTGAAGTTTGCACAGGCCCGCCATACCATGTGCTTGAAAGACAACGATTAATATTGGGGGTCGTGAGGACTTGAACACGTGACCTCATGGACAACCAGCTCTGATACCATGTTGTGAAAAGGAGATTTGTTGTTAAGAGAATCAAAAGATACAATCCAACCCGATTTGCCTCAGTTTATTCAGGTTTGTTTTATACACGTTTACAGGAGAGGTAGTTGAGAGAATACAGGGTAGTGTACAAGGAAGAGGGAACGTGTACAGGGGAGGTGGGCCTAATAATAAAAAGAATGATTTATTCTTTGTCTCTAATATGATTCTCATCCAAAATCCATCACCCAATTCCTACTTCGTAAGAACCATTAAACAAAGTGTTCTCTTTTTCAATAGGTCACTCGTATTAAAAGGATATTAGGATCCACATATAGAGAGTAAGTGGTCAAGCTATTTCGTACATCGTAACTAAGAAACAGAGTCAAATCTCTTGACGACAATAATATAGTGAGCTGCTAAGTAGTCTACCCTATTCTATTAGGATGACGATCAAAGTGAACATAAACTTTTGTAATGACTTCAATAAAACCCGAATTTCAGTTAGGATAGCTCCAACTCTCGACATCCTAAACCGGCCTTTCCAAGCATTTTATCAATTGCCACCTTAACATTCCCACAACAGCAAATACGGATCAAGCTTTTTTAGGTAATAGGTATTATCAATTATGTTATTTAATAGAAGTTTTGGTTAGGGTAATTCACTAATTTTGAAGGAACCTTGTGGAAGTGATAGGTTTCAATCATCGGGCCCCAAATGACAGCGGGCCGAGAGCCCATTGGGGTTCTTCTTCCCTCGTGATTACTCCAATTTTCGGCCGAACTACAGTAGACACGGCTCCGTCTCTCTCATCAAAACAAGTTCAGCTGGGATTTCTCTCTCCGGCTCCGGCGTTTGTCAGTGTCAGCCAAAATCGGCGGCGAGCTAGAAAGGGAAATCAGGGGAATTTAGGGAAGCTAAGCTCAAACGATGTTGAAGTTTCTATCGAAGGTGAGGATAGAGTTCAACGCATTGGACCCGCGCCTGGCATCGTGTATGGAATTCTTGGCGCAGTGCAATGCTCGCAAGGCCAAAGAATCGAACCCGGCCTGCCAGGTCCAGGTCAAGCGCCGCACCGACGACCACCCGCCGCAGATCACCGTCACTTTCGTCAACGGCGTCGAGGAGGTCTTCGACGGCACCCAGACTACTGCCCAGACGATACGGAACATGATTCTGGAGAAAGGCCAGTACCTCGAGACGGAGCAAATGTTTCGGGAAGCCGGGGAGAAATGGCCGGTTGTCATCCCTGATGAAGAGCTCAGTATGCATGCTCCGGGAACCAAGGTTTGTTTACCCTTTCTCTTCTTCCATCTCAATGTCGCCTCCGACCTTTGGCTTGTGTTCTGGCGCCGTGTCATGCCTGATCGAATGGTGTTTATTGTGGGTTTTTGAATCTCTTCGATTCAAGGCTGCTTATTTCTGCTTTGTTTCCTCTGAATTTTGGCATCCTCTTTGTTTCCTCGTTGGGGCATTTCATCAAACAGGTGGTGAGCTTAAAAGTTCCTCCTTTTGCTAAGCGTACTGTGTGTTGGTAGACTCACTGGTTGGATTAGCATGATTATCATGTCTGCCTGGTTTATACATTTGCGATATGTAGGTAGAACATCAATCTCTATCTCCTGGACCGTCACTCTCCTAATCTCCACCTACATTCTTGTGAGATTTATTCTGCAATGTAGCTGATCTTTAAGCTCATCAGATCTACTTTCTTCCATGTCTGAATGTCTCAAATGCTAGAATTCAGCTCCTTAAACCAAGCCTTTCGTGTCTGGTTATCCTTCGATTTACGACTTGAGAAGTAGTTCTTTGCCTTCGCTCGTATATGATTGTTCTATGAACGGAGTATTCGTACGACTCCAGAAGTAAACTGTAATGGCTATCATTTGAATGTTCATACATTTATCAGTGGCTGTGCCCTTCTATCTGTCTATTGTCATCTGTATTGTTTCCAGTTCAAGCAACAAAACCCCGTTACGGTCCAATTCTTTTATCTGTTAATCCTAATCTTTCACCTTTTCACCCAGCCGAGGAAAGCAGAAGACAAGAAGTGAAACCATCCCTTTTCCAGCCAGCATTTTTCATCAAAGTCATCAGCAGGAGATCAACTAATCTCTCCATGATTTCGATAAGATCATGGATTAAATTTTGCTGCTGTGGATGCTTATGCTTGTGATTGGATGATCGTCTATGAAAGATTAGCATACTTTTTTCAGTTCACTCATCTGTAGGAAGTTGCTGATGTTGTTATTACTGTTTATCAAGGTTCTTCATGCATTATCCGACTCGAAACCATGTGGTCCTTTCAATAAAAAGCTGCTCTTGTGCATTGAGTAGCTATCTTAATTTAGAAGCTGCAGTCCCAAAAATGGATAGAATGAATTGCTCTGTTGATGAGAGATCGAGGCTTTATTTCTTATTATTACAGCCGAGTGAGGCTAACTGGCTAAGTAGGGAACACTATGTAAGTTTGAGGACAAACTTCTAATCACACCATTATGTACAACTAAACAACTCATAAGCGGAACACCATGATCTCTTGGCACCATTCTGTATAAACAAACACAAAATCTGGACAAGATGCATCTTCCTCACTTGCTGCTCTAATCCTTCATCTATCATGAAAGGTAATGACAGGGACAATTTTCAGCGGTCTTCTCGTCGAACACTGTTTGGGTCACCCATCATATCCATCATCATCTTCTACGGCGAATCTTCCCAGTTTGAGAAAGTCTTCAGATCGACCTGGAAAACAAAAGTAAAGAAATATGGGGTTTGTGCAAGTTCAAGATAGTTGTCTTTAAACAATGAGCTTAAATTGAAGCTGTTCATAGGGCATCTTTCATCGCTGCTCGGTGAAAAGCACCTCCCGTTGCTTGTATGAAGTTTGAACAGACCTTGCCGCCTCCCCACCAAGTCCCCAGACCTCCATTCTGAAATCAATGCCTCAACTGGGAGAAAACCGTGATACATGGTCAACTGCATGGTGACGAACAGTAACCTTAGCAAAGTCTTCATCGATAAATAGCCTTTCGTTCCCCATCGATCCACCAAACCTGATTCCAACAGGCTTCGGGTGTGGATCATATCCCCTAGCAGTAAACAAAGTTCTTCTCCTTTCCTGTCAAACAGATCCAGCACAAAAGCTTTCAGAACCATTCATCCCAAGAAAGATAAATAGTAAAGGAATCAGAAGAAGGGTTCAAAGTTTCAGATTACCAGAAGGTGGAAATACATGGAAAACAGGACGCATAGCGTATAAGGTTGCAGAGGTTCCATAAAAATTCTCTTTGTTCTCCAACCCTTGCTGTGTAAGAGCACCTATAGTCCACTTCTTTGCAGTTGAGTTCTCGTTTCGAGTATCTCCAGAAGTAGTAGACACCACGATAAGTAATGGACTATGATGACCTTCAACGTTAGACCAGAATCTATTCAATCCCCTGCCATGAACAGATGACCTACATGGTAGAATGAATGGAGGTCAATCTAGAATTCCTTTCTAATTCTGCAACCTCGAGTTGATGAACTGAGTCAAGCAATCTGTTATACTTGGAGCAGTTGCCAATGCCCAAGCAAGGAACTTCTCAGCAGGTTCTAAACCAGCTAAATCACAGTCCCAGAAGTCTACTCCATCAAGACCATCACAACACGAAACGACAGCAGACAACGCCATATGACTGACATCCGGAAGGAATAGTGTGAAGAACCCGAGACTTAAGTTTTCCATTATTCAATCAACAGATTTACAGTACAAAGCAGCAGAGTGCTGCGGTATGCAAGGAACTGAAAAGAGTGAAATAAGGAACTGCCAATAGTGGGCAACGTTCCACTACTAACAACTAACAGCTAGAGAGAAACTTCAGGAGCAAAATCCTCTTCACGCCCCCGCAAGTGAAGGCTCGGTGAGTCGGAACTTGGAGCAAAACTTGTTGAAGGACTAGCGCGGCAATGGCTTGGTTAGCACATCCGCGAGCTGATCAGGAGCCGGTAAGTAGTGCACGCGCAGCTGCCCTTTGCTGACTTGATCACGAATAAAGTGAAACTCGATCTCCATGTGCTTGGACCGGTTATGAAACACCGGATTGTGCACAAGAAACGTCGCGCCAAGATTGTCACACCACAGAGTTGGAGCAGAGGGTATAGATTGGCCGAGTTCATGAAGTAAAGTGCGTAACCAAAGTACCTCAGAAGCAAGAGTTGCAAGGGCCCGATATTCACATTCGGTAGAGGAGCGTGCGACGGATTTCTGCTTGCGAGTGGACCAGGACTAGGGCTGGTAAACGGTATAACGGTTATCATATTAACCGTTTACCAAACCGATAACCGGCGGTATCGATATACGGTAGCCAGTTTTTGCCACACGGTATACCGTTCTATTTCCGGTTAAATACCGTCGGTATTCCGATATGCCGATTACCGAAACCCAACAACCCTAAAGCGAATTCTAAAACTGTCTCATGGTCGCCCTCAAGCGAATTCCCTCCTCTCTCTCTCTCTCTGTCCTCTTCCCCAACTCTCTCCGCAAACCTAAACCTAAAAATCAAAATCGAACACTCTCCACTCACCAAAGAGGCGCCGCTCATGGAAGCTTCTCCACCGTCTGGCGACTCCCAAATCCCCATCTCCGCTGGCCGCTGATCGAAGCTCGGCGGCCACCAACCAACCTCTGTCGGCTGCTAATCGAAGCTCACGACCACCAACCAATCTCCGTTGGCTACTAATTGAAGCTCGCGACCAACGAATCCCTATCTCCGCTGGCCACTGTCTTGAAGCTCGCCGACCATCGGATCCGTTCAGCAGAGCAGCAGCAGCAACGAGATCCCTTCAGCAAAGCAGCAGCAGGAGATGGAGATCAGAGCAAAGTAATAATTGCAGAACAAAAAAAAATTAAGATTTTGGTTCCTCTTTCTTTCCTTCTTTACTCTGCAGAACAGGGATCCTTCAGGGTGTTGATTAGATTCCTTTGATGAGTATTAATTGATTAGTCAATATGAATTGATGAGGCATGCAATTTTTTGCAGCAATATTCATTGACCAAGTATGTATGATAAGAACGCATCAGAAGGCCATCCCTCTCCCTTCCCGGTTATTCGGCTAATCGGTATGTTAACCGTTAACCGGTATACTGGTTAGCCGGTTAACCGAATTTTACTCGGTATCGGTTGGCGGTAGCAAATTCAGATGTCTCGGTATACCGATAACGGTTAACCGGTAACCGACCGGTTACCAGCCCTAACCAGGACACTAGGTTTGAGCCGCAGAATACGATGAACCCAGTGATAGACTTGCGATCCTTTGGGCAAGAGGCCCACGACGCATCTGAATAGCCATGTACATGAAGTGAGGGAGACTTGGAGAAAACGAGGCCACGATCAAGAGTACCTCGAAGATAGCGTAGAATACGCTTCACAGCGACCCAATGGTTGTCCATCGGAGAGTGCTGATACTGAGAGACGTGGTTGACCACAAATGAGATGTCTGGTTGAGTGAAGTTTAGGTATTGTTGTCCACCGACGACGCTGCGATAGAGAACAGGATCTGCAAACAGTGGAGAAGAATCCATGGCTGATTGCTGGATGATGTCAACAGTGCATGGAGTGGAGATGGCATTGGCATTAGACATTTGAGCACGGTCAAGGAGATCGTGAATAAACTTCCGCAGACTTAGAACACGGCCTATGGATGATCTATGCACCTCAATGTCGAGAAAATATGACAATGGCCCCAACTCCCGGAGAGCAAAATTATCACGGAGGAAAGCGAACAGCCGCTGAATGAGAGAAGAATCATTACCGGTGATGACGATATCATCAACATAAACAAGCATATATAGTCGAGTGACACCGTTCTTGTAGATAAATAGGGATGGATCTGTTCGAGAGACAGTGAAGCCGAACCGAGAGAACGCAGCAACAAGACAGTGGAACCATGTGTGGGGAGCTTGACGGAAGCCATAGATGGACTTTCGAAGTCGACAAACATGATCGGGTTTATCCGGATCAACAAAACCAGGGGGTTGCTGCATATAGACTGTCTCCTGTAACTCACCATGTAGAAAAGCATTAGCTATGTCAATCTGATGAAGGGGTCAACTCTGAGTAACGACTAGACCAAGAATAAGACGTAGTGTAGCAGGCTTCAGAACCGGACTGTAAGTCTGATGAAAATCTAGACCCGGTATTTGTTCGAAGCCACGGGCCACGAGTCGAGCGCGACGCCTGTCTAGCTGTCCGTCGGGATGAAGCTTTGTGCGGTAAGCCCACTTGTTGGAGATGAGGTTGCAATTAGAGGGCCATGGAACCAAGTCCCACGTGTGATTCCGAATCTGCGCATTAACTTCATCGGCCGTGGCCGAGCGCCACTGGGGGAGCTTGAGAGCCTGAGTCACAGTGGTTGGGGTATCATCAATGTGAGAAAGGAGACTGCGAGGTTTAAGGTGACCGGTTTTGATCCAGGTGACCATGAGATGGGTAGAGGTTGTGGGATTGGTAATAGGAAGAGGGCGAGGGAAAGTGGTGAATGGAGGCCTCTTTGGCAGTGGGCGACGAGGAGGAAGAGGAGTGGGATGAGGTTTGGGGAGGAGAGGAAGTGAGGTAATTGGAGGAACGAGAGTAGGCTGAGGTGAAGGGAGGACAGGGGAAGAAGGAACAGTGGTGGTGGAGGAAGGACGGCGGCGCTGGTATTGAAGGAGTGGCCGAGAAGGAGGGACGACAGATGGGGAAGGAGTCGTCAAGGGCATGAGTGGATCGGGTGGAAGGGAATGAGACGATGGGCCGGGTTGCTGAGTGTCATTAGGGGCTAAGGAGAAGAGGTGGGTCGGTTGGGGGCGAGGGGCTTGTATGGGAGGAAGGGGAGAGAGATTCAGTAGGTGGGTTGGGTTGAGGAGATGGATTGGGCCCAGCATTTGATGGGAAGACCGAAAAAATTTTCAACCAATTGGTGGAATTGAATGAAAACATTGAATAGCTGAGACATATATCGAATGAAATAAATCCAGGAGAATTTGCTATAATGATCATAAAACAAAATATAATAGGATTGCTCATCATAAGATAAAATAGGAGCAGGACCCCACACATCACTACAAACGAGTTCAAGAGGAGCAGTGCAGTGACTTGAAATATGGACGAAGAGAAAGGAAGCTTGTGAATTTTACTAACAGCACAGCCATGACATAAAGAAGGGGGAGAAGAAACACATTTTATTTGATGCTGATGAAGAGCGTGCTTGAAGAAACAAATCCAAGAAACGAATTTGGATCGGGCCCTTTTGTTGATTCGAAGACTGGGGTTTCGTAACTAACACTGAAGCATTGGAAGTGTCATAAACCGGTTGGTCCCAATAACTCGAGTTGTTGGTAGAGGTTCAATCGTGGATCATATACTACAACACTAACACGCCCCTCAAACGAAAGCCACTTACAAGGACTTGAAGTTTGCACAGGTGTGAAGACAAGAATACCATGTGCTTAACAAATGGGTGCAACTGTACATGGGCATTGGGACGTGCCGCCCACGGGCTAGCACGGCACGGCACGGTTAGAGCACGACACGAGCACGGGCACGAAATAAATGGGCCAGTCCGGCACGAGCACGAATAATTTATGGGTCGTGCCGGGCCTAAACTTCATGGGCACGGGCACGACACGGTATATAAGTGGGCCGTGTTGGGCCTAATATTTTCGAGACTTTATTGAGTATAAGAACGAATATGACACGAAAATAATATTTATTTGATGGAAAATAAATATAAAAAGAATTATAGGTTCAAATATTACAAAACACAAGTAGAAAAATAATTATTTGTTGTTGTTAGAATTGTCATAAAGATATATACGTAATTACTAACATAAGTAAAAATGGATAAAGAATTAAATAAAGTCAAATCACACTCGCTATACTTTCAATTTTCTTTTCCCCCTTATTTGTTACTTTTCTCAAACATTATCGGTTAATACTATATTCCCCGTCCAATTTTCATCTTCTTTTTCATTCTTTTTTTGTTTTCGTCCTTTTCATTAAACACGAATACGAACATGGCACAAGTACGAATAGCACGACACGATTCGAACCGTGCTCGGGCCTGGGCCAGATCTAGAGAAGTTAACAAATGGGCTTGCATGGCACGACACGAAAACTGACGGGCCCGAAGCGTGCCAGTGCCGTGCCGGCCCAAGCACGGCCCAGCGCCTGTATACAAGTGCAATCGGGAATAACTCGAATTGTTGGGAGAGTTTCAATGGTTGATCATATGCCACAACACTAACAGGAAGCGCTCCAATAGAAGCTGCGAGGCTTTCCGCTTCTCGCTGGAACCCGCCTGCTGTGTCGACGACGAACCTCCCATTTTCTTCCGCAGGAAAGGATTCAGAATCGGATCAAAAATCAAAGGGTAAATACAATTTAATATCCAAACCTTTTATTTTAAACAATATAATAGCCAAACCTTTTCGAAAACAATTTAATATCCAAATCGTAAACTTTATGTCTGTTTGACCGTTAGTTGACACTTCAAAAAAGTTCGAAGTACGACACTTCATCAATATCCATCGATATCTTCTCTGAAAAACCACCAACATATCGCAGTTCCAAACCCGAGAAGTCCATGACTCCACCATGATGTAGGGGTGGGCATTCGGTCGGTTCGGTTCAAACCGAACCGAAAAGATGATTACCGGTACCCCAGTTATAGTCACAGACCAAACCGATTCCGAACCGAATTATATTTCGGTTCGGTCTGGCCGAACCGAAATATAACTCGGTTCGGAACGGAAAACCCGACGAACCCGAGAATTCTTTTTTCACATTCTTAATTTGTTACCCCTCTGCCCTCTCGGCTCTCTCTCACTCTCTCTCCCCATTCTCTTCTTCCTTCTCCCATATCACCCTCTTCAATCCATCCATCTCTCTCTGATAAAACAACAGGCCATCAATCCACCCTTACCAAGCACTCCGCCGCCTAGAGCACTCCGCCGCGCAGATCGCAATGAGCTCCCTCCGCCACCGGGCTCGCCTTCTCCCCAGATCTGGAGCACTAAGTTCGCCGCTCGCCCATTTTGATGAAGAGGAAGCGGTGGCAAAGAGAAGACAGAGCCATGGGAGAGCATGCAGGGGCTCCACCACCGCTAATTTTTGTCGTCTCTGTTGCAGATCCCGTCGCGGCACCACCTCTCCTTGTCGATTGCGCCGCCGCCGAGATGCCACACCAGAGTTCGTTTTTCGCGATGAAGAAGGAGCTGTGTAGTGGGTATACCGTTTGAGGTTTCGAGTGATCGAGAGAGAGTGAGAGACGGTCGGTGGTGGTGAGTGGTGATTGTGGTGAGCGGCGGACGAGAGGGAGAGACAAAGGGAGAGAGAGATGGAATTAGGATTAGGTTTTGTTATTGTTGGGTTCTTTCTTTGGATTCTGGAGGAGGGGGCCTTCAATTTGAGTCTCGGTTGCTGGGCTTGACCCTCAGCTGGGCTTCTTTAATTTGTTGGGCCTGGCAGGATGTGGTAGTTGGGTATGCATTTTCGGTTTATCGGTTCGGAACTCGGAATTTCGGGTTCGGTTGGCATACTCTGTATTCCGAATTAAGAGTATTTCCTTTCCGATTTCCGATCCGAATAGTGAGAACTTCGATTTCGGTCGGTTTGGCTTCGGTTCGGTTCGGTTCGGAGAGTTAAAACCGAACCGGATGCCCACCCCTACCATGATGGTATAGCTTATCTAAATATTTAGTCATCTGCAATGCAAAAACAAGAAACAAAGTTGTATTGTGACAATTTCCCCTAAACAAAGCTTTTTTGAAGTGTCAACTAACGGTCAAACGAACCGGAAGTTGACGATTTGGATATTAGATTGTTTTCGAAAAGGTTTGACTATTATATTGTTTAAAATCAAGGTTGTCAAACCGCGGGTCGACCCGGACCTGGACGAGCTAGTGGGTCATGGGTCAATGGGTCACCCGTTTTAGCCCGGAAATATGAAAAGAGCCAATATATTCTATTTATATCCTGAATCCAAAATAAAAAAATGCAACACTGCTTCAACTACAACACACTTAAATAACATAAACTTAAATTCAACATAGTAAAAATTCAACAACACTTAAATCATTCACATAACATCAACTTAAGTCCATCATAGTTAAAACCAGAATATCACAAAATTGTATCAAACTATAGTTATACGAAAGAAAAAAACCAATCTAAAATTCTTCTTCCACATCAACAATCCCTACTAACAATAACAATTCATTAATTTAACTTCTCCACATATATAATTCGTGTTACCTCCTGCCAAAGGGTTCCAAACATTCATCAATTAATAAAATCAACCAAACCCTTACATTCATAAAAAAAAAAAACAAACCCTTACCAATCTGAGTTCGAATATCAAACAGAGGGAGGAGGTCGAGCTGAGGCAGAGGAAACTTGATGGCGGCCAAGCTCGAGCTAGAGATGGCTACGAGACCGACCCGACCTGAGGCAGAGGAAACTTGATGGCGGCCAAGCTCGAGGTTTCGAGTGGTCGAAGACAGATGACGGCGTTCAAACTCAGATTGGTCGGAGGACAGAGCTCGAGCGGCTGTGGGAGCGGAGCAGGAGCTAGTTGCCGCCGACGAAGGGGAACAAGGCCCGGCGATGGCGATCGAGCGGCGCCTGTGGGGTGGGAGGCAGGGCTGCGCCGCGGGTTGGAGAGGAGAGGTCGTGCGATGAAGGAATGGTAGGGTTTTTGATTTCATACCCTGCCCTCCGCCTTCTCCCGGCCAAAACGTCGCCGCGCCAGTCTAAAACGCAGCGTAAGGAGAAGAACCAAGTGACCCGCTCTGGACGGGCGAACCGCCCGGGTTAGCCGGGTTTGACCGGGTTTGACCAGATCCGGGCTGACTGTCAAAAGGGTTGCATTGGCCCGTTTTTTGGGCGGGTCCGGGTCAATCTGGGTTGACCCGCGGGTTGACAACCTTGTTTAAAATGAAAGGTTTGGATATTAAATTGTATTAAACTCCCCTTGTAAAGCTTCCCGTTTGTTTCTCCCGAAAATACCAGTGAGAAAAAATATTGATTTTTAAATTTTCCTGCTGATTCCCTAACCGACATAAACCGCCGCTTTTTACCGGGCCAGCCCGTTGTTTACCTGACGAGCCGGGTGTGGACTTTGCCCGGTTTTATATCCGGGTCCTGGTTTCCGCTCCACGTAAACGAGAAGGTAGATAAAGGAAAATCAAAGAAATCGGGCCCTAAACTTTTTCTCCCTTTTCAGAACTTCCGGCGATCTCTAGGGTTTCTATCGACAGCGGCAGAAGAAGAGAGCAATGGCGGTACCAGGTCCTTACACAGGCGGAAGCACCCTCGCTCTGGTAAGTGCCTTTTTCCTTCCTTCCTAATCAGTGTAGATTCTCCCCAGCTTGCCTGGTTGTCTCGAGGACCGAACTGTAGGGTTGCATCAAATTCTTGATGGATTTCTTACGATTGCGGATTGAATTGGTGGTGATTTAGGTGGCTCGTGCATCGGCGTTCAGTTTCGGACTAGTGTACGGAGGTTTGAAGCTCAAATATCTTACGGTAATTGCTAGTTCCTTTCCTTAACTCCCAGCTCAGTCGGTAATGGTATTGTCTGCTTCAATATTTGAAGCAATCTAGCAGTTGCTGTTGCCTTGAATTTTGGGCGAAATTTCTTCGATTCCAGCAAAAACCCTGGAATCTATGCTTGATTTGGTGCTGGGTTCATGAACTGTTTTTTACTTTGATCGAATGCTTTAACAAGGTGATGGGAAGTTTCAGAGGGTAATATTCTATGGCTTGACGGAGTGAGCATTCATCTTTCATTATAGAATGGGTTTCAGGCAAATCTTATTGTAATGGACTTCTAGTGCAGTGAGGGCGTGCATCTTGAATAAGGAGCTTGATAGGGCATGTAATGCAGTCACCATAGCCTTAAGTAGGTTTATGTAAATCCATAGTCATATGAACCAGAAGATGTGCAAACCCGAACCCACCTCTGCACTTCTTCCTGCATCAGAGGGAGGAAATCATAGGCAATGCTATAACTAATTCTAGTTGTTCCATGTTACTTTCCTCATAAATCAGGAGCTTCAGAAGGGCACCATTCAGGTCTAAGTAGTTTGATGTGAATGTATGACATGGGAACCAGACGATGTGTGAACCCGCTTTATACAGTTCTTCCTTTATTTGTTGGTGAACGTATGATTATGCGACACACCATCTTTGATTCGTTGTCTTATTATATTTAAACTTGTTCTGTTGATTGAACATCAATTCTTAATCCTTTACCAGATGACGAAGAAGACCCCAGTTGCAGCCAAGGGAGGACACAAATGATCATATGTGCTTGCTGTTGGATGATTGATGCGGGATGAACTGCAAGGAATCCTTGTTTTTTGTTAGCTGAATAAAAATATTTGGTAGCACATTGTGGGACATTTGTTTTGGATGAGAGACTCATGAACTTTTCAGGATCCCATTGATTACCATCTCCAATTATAGATTGACAATGCTTCTGATCTTTTAACTCACCATTGATGGCATGTAAGGAAGCTCTGTTTTTTTTATTCATCCATTTACCGACTGTCTTTTGTGATTCTCTTCCCATTCCAAGCATAATTATGGTTTGATGTGGTCTGGTCTCGTGTAGACCAAGCCATTGCCCTCCCCTTCTGTTTAATAATTTAGTTCATCTGCTTAGATTAGTGGTTTTTGTCCACTGGTTTAATCTTGGTTGCAAATGTTGGTGCTGGATTTTTTGTTGATTGATTCATAGCAGCGGAAACGCAACTTGTGTTGTTGGGGACTGATTGAATTTGAAGCTAGTGGCTGCTGTGTCTCAATAGTCAATGGGCCCATGTTTGTCGACATCAGTGGGCAACCATAATGGATTGGGCCGAATGGCAAATGCCGGTTGAGCCTTAATAATTGGTCGGTAGGGTTGGGCTCAGTCCAGTTACAGAAAATCACCTGTCCCCTGACTTTTCTCATCGTGTGAGTGAAGATTCCTTTTTTTATTTATTTATTACCTTACCTTTGGTGAATATTCTCTTTTCCCCCTTAAACCACCAAGTCCAAAGCTAGTCAATAAGTCATAAATAAATAGCAGTAAATAATTATAAAAAAAATAAGTGCAAAAATGCTTCGCCGACAAATGGATCAAACAATTGTAATATTGCTTGCTTGTCACTGTAACCTTTTGTCCTAACTCCTAACTAATGATATTTATCTACTTGTTAACAGTACTCTAATAGATTGCAAAGTTGTTCAACTTCCATTTGGACGGAAACTTGTAACAACAATGCTAATCTTCGAATGTTTTCTATGAAACTTTCTTTGAGTTTAATAGACAACAGTACAACACTAATTCGACGAAAAAAATATTAGCATAACATTGGAGTATAACATTGTTTGAGTTTAATAGACGATATTATGTTAAACATGGAAATACGGCATGCTGGCCATTTCATTGTTACATATTGAGTTGTCCCCAAAGTCTTAGTGATACAATTGTTTAAGAGTCAAAATAACTTGAAGTGACCTATTAGTCAATGGTTTCAAACTCCAGTGACCATTTGTAAAATTGACCCTAAGCTAAGCTTCATGGCTAGTTGCAGGCTTGCAGCATTCCGTGTAGAGAGAGCAAAGCAAGCAAGCTCACTTCTTCGTTTCACTCTGCTCATCAGAAGTCCAAACTCGAAGAAAAAGGAAAGAAATTTACAACTGCGAAACCGCAACCGACACACACTTCTCTCTCGCCACTGTCCTAAATCCTAAATCTCGCCCACTAATCAAAACTCTAATTACATCTACTATTCCCTCCACAGTTAAAACAAATCCTACTTGCTCCACCTGCTCCAAACTCCCCCAAATCTGAGTTCTTTCCACTCACTCACTCCCAAAGCTCCAATCTTTACACTCAAGCAGCAAAAAAGAAGGGGAGAGACACAACAAAGAGAGATGGGATCAGTGTCGCTGAAAATCGGCGACGGCACCGCCAGATTCAAACGGGCAACACTCTGCACATCGGCGGTAAACCTTCTCATGATCCTTTCAGTGCTCACTACAAATCTCTTCGCTCTCTATGCCTTCAATTACTCCCCCATCCACCTCCACCTCCACGCCCACAATCTCAATCCCCACAAGAACATCTCCTTGATCTCCGAGCATGTCTCCTTAATCCTGCGAGAGATCGGTTCATCCCAGAAAAAGCTCGCCAAGATGGAGAAGGAGCTTCTAGGTTATGACACCATCGACATCTCAAGACCCAATATTGCTAGTGAGCTCAAATTGTTTCTCCAGCATCACCAACTGCCTCTGGGGAAAGATTCAAGAACTGGGATCACAGAGATGGTGGCTTCTGTAGGCCATTCCTGCGAGAGATCGACCGATTTGCTGTCGCAGTACATGAACTACAAGGTTTCTGGTTCTTGCCCTGATGATTGGAGCCTTGCCCAGAAGTTGATTCTTCGTGGGTGTGAGCCTTTGCCGAGGAGAAGATGTTTTGCTAAAGGTGGGAGTAAGTTGGGGCTCCTGAAACCTTTTCCTTTGTCTCTTTGGAGTTCTGTTGTTGATAATAAGGTAGTTGGTAGCTGGAGTGGTTATGGTTGCAAAGGGTTTGATTGTTTGAGTAAGAAGAAGTTGAGTAGGGAATGTGTGAATTGCTTCGACGTGGGTGGGGCTGAGAATCAGAGGTATGTGAAGTCCAAAGGGAAGAATGATTTCTTGTTGGATGATGTTTTAGGGTTAGGCAGTGGTGGGATTAGGATTGGGTTCGACATCGGTGGTGGATCGGGAACTTTTGCTGCTAGAATGGCTGAGAGGAATGTGACTGTGATTACAAACACGTTGAATGTCGATGCTCCGTTTAGCGAGTTCATTTCTTCGAGAGGGCTGTTCCCTCTGTACTTGAGTTTGGATCATAGGTTTCCATTTTACGACAATGTATTTGATCTGGTACATGCGTCGAGTGGATTGGATGTTGGTAGCAAGGTGGAGAAGCTCGAGTTCTTGATGTTTGACATCGATCGTGTGCTTAGACCAGGTGGATTGTTTTGGTTGGATAACTTCTATTGTGCTAATGATGAGAAGAAAGGGGTTTTGACAAGATTGATCGAGAGGTTTGGGTATAAGAAGTTGAAATGGGTTGTGGGAGAGAAGGTTGATGCAGCAAGTGGGAGGTCTGAAGTTTATTTATCTGCAGTGCTTCAGAAGCCAGCAAGAGGCTGAAACTAGGAAAAGAGGTAAGCATGCTTGGTCTTTGTTCGAACTAGGGAAGCTAAGCTTGCATTGTTGAAATGCCCACATCAAAATTCTTTTGCCCCTTACTTATCCAATTGCACATTTAGAGGTTTCTGACTTTCAAGCAGCAATGAAGAGCAAAAGAAGGCGATATATTTATGTTTCTGTTGTAAAATTTATCCGTCTTTTCCGTGTAACTTTTAGGGGGAGGGGAACTCTTAGTTGTGGAAGATTAGTATAAACTCTTAGGAGTACCGAGTATGGGGAAATTATAGTGTATTCATGAATTTTTGCCCAACTGTGAGTACATTATGCTTATTATCAATAGAACCTGCCTACACTTGTTGGAGTTTGGAACACATACTTGCAAATTCATTGACCTTTTACTATTTCATCAAAGATTTCTATTTATATTCATTTTGACCATTACATCACAGTCAAAAGAACTGCAATTGACCTTTCCTGCCTCCATATCATGAGTTATGCATAACTGGAAATACGTAGCCTTTATATGGGGTTGTCGCCATGCCAGGGCCAGAGTCTTGCTCATATGTGGGTCAACTATCTTCTCTAGTTTTTATTCATTTTGTGGCCAATCTTCTAGATGCTCATCAACTTCATCCAATTAGCTTACAAGTTACAACATACAACGAGGAAAGCCGCACCTTAACCAAGGTGATGGCCATGGTAAATCACTAAATCACAAGATCCCCAACTCCTACTCCTAAACCCTAGCTAGCTATATAGCTGCTGCAGCTGATGCTGCTGATACAGTGAGTAATGGGGTGTACTGGATCCACTTCCTAACAGATTATGAAGTTCGATCAGTCGGCCCATTTGCATTCCTGTAGAGCACTGATTCATTGTATCCCTCTCTCATTCATTGTGGTGTCAGCATTAACCTTGTGCGATGGTAGAGGAAGCAATGTTGATCCCCTGCTGCATATTCGTGCTGTTGAGTAGCTTCATCCCTTCCTCGCTCATCTGCTGAACTTCTTGAGGCGATAGAATCCTTATGCATCGTACACATCCCACGAATTCCCTTTTTCAAAATAAATAAAACAAACCACCCAAATCTCAGATTCCAATTTTCATGCAACAGAAAGAAAAGGGAAGGGAAAAAATATATGCAGAGTAGATTTTCTCTTACTCCCATGGATCATCGCCAATGAGCAGGACATCATTCTCGTAGTCCACGTAAACCAACTTCCATCCCGACTCCCTTGGATTAGTCAGCAACCCCCCAAGACCGAACATGCACTCGATCGCCGAGCATAGCTCCTCGTAGTTCTTGAAGCTCGAAACGTCGATGGATCGACCAACTGACCCTGCCTTCTGAACCTGTTTTGGTAATCCATTAGAGAAGCACAATTTAGCATTCAATAGGGAATCAAGATATCAGATCTCTATAGTGGAGATCCGATTTTGATCTTACAATTTGGGTGGAACCAATCTTAGAAAGCCCATGAACGCAACAGAAGTTTGTAACAAAAACAGTGTTTGGTCTTATCAAACATCCAAGAGTAGTGACTAGTGACCACTAGGTATCTGACACAATTCTTCATGATATAAAAATCTTCATGAATTTTCGATAGTTCAAGAATAATATTTCCAATGTTACATAGGTAGCATACCTTAGTATAAGTCCTCACGCGGGGAGCAACCTGCTGCCAGGAGTTAGTTTGCACGAGGCTATTGCCCTTATCAAACTCCACATTGCTAGAAGAAGTCCCACCAGAGCTATCAGGAAACTCCTGCTGCTGAGAGAAAGCTTGAGAATCCGCCAAACTTACTGAAGTGATCTGAGACTGAACATCCTGGCTCGCGCTGAAGTTGCCCACAAGGCAATCTGAAGAAGGGTTGTTGTGGAAATCCTGATCCTTCAAGGAACAGAAATCGTCTAGAATAGTACTCGAAGGGTCAATCATAACACCACCACCACCATGGCCATTATTGAGAGAGCTATAGATTCCACTTTGGCCATTGCTCTCATCAACCGAGTTGAAGCTGCAATGATCCTGTTGAGACATCGGTACGAACTGGGTCGATTGGTTTAGATACCTCAGGTTGTTCAGCTGGTGATGATCCCACACGTCCTGGTTCACTATTGTTTCGGGAAAGAGTATGGGAGGAGATGATTCTTGCATCCCGAACATTGACATTGTTCCAGGCTGTCTTTGGACTGATGCTGAGACATGCATTGCTGGAGACTGCTGTGATGTCCATTCGTCCACTGTGTCCAGGAATGGAAGGACGTTTTGGTCAGGTTGAGGGAAATGTGGTTGCTGAAGAGGCTGAGCAACTGATGATGATGGCTCTTCAAGTGGCTGCTGCATAATGGACCAGTGACCATTCGGTAAATGTTCAGCAGTAGTCACCTGGGTCAACTCAGCTTCTGATTTCACCATCTTCTCTGGTGGGGTCGGTGCTTGATTTTTTTCAGATTTCGTTGAAGGATTTGGCTTTCCAGGAACATTGTTGACTTTGAATGACGACGAAGAATTCCCAGTCTCACGTTGCTCTAGACATGACGGCTGTTGCTGTTGCTGCTGATAAAGGGGATGGTTTCCAGAGAACATAGCTGCTACATCTGAATGTTGGTTTATGATCCTAACATCTTCCACCGACGGTCCTTTGGCAGCACAGACTTCTTGGAAGGCAGGAGAAGAGCAGAGTCCAGGATAGTTTATAGCTGGTGGTTTCATTAACATCTTAAGCAGTCTATCAGAATCTGGAATTGTTGGTGGGTAAGGAAGACTTCCATTGCCACCATCAGGAAGCCAGATTAGGGGTCTTTTAATCATATTTCCCCATTCAGTTTCTCCTCCTAAATAAACACAAAGGTATATCATCAGAACCAGATCCGAAGAAGAATATTAAGATAACCAGGGTGTTTCTTAAAAAAGCTCTTTCTAATACCTAAGTAACCACCATGGATGGACCTCTTGAGACCTGAGGTTAAAGAAGGGAAAATGAAAAGGCTCTCGGGAGTTTCTACTTCCCATGGACTAACACGACTCGGTTTGTCAGAACATCCTGGCTCATCCCACTCCACCTGGAGGTTTCGCCATTTGGAACCAGGCCACCGCAAGGGATCCAAGTCGCTAACAGCCACTATTGACCCCATGTATCTGTTCAACAAGAAAGCAAAACCTTGTTCAACAAGCAAACTAACATGATCATAGTTAGTAGCAGAACGGTTAGGAAAAGATCAAACGAGACCTTCGTTTGGCAGATTCCTCCGTCTCAAACATCATCCCAAACCTCATCCCAACAGAGACTTGAGTTCCGTACACAGCTTTCCTGTATTTGACCAAAGGAATGACAAACTCTGAAGGACATGCCCTGCCAACAACCAAAAAGTCAGTCCCTTTCATTCACATGAGCAGCAAGGCACATTCACTAGACAAACAATGAATAAAGATTGAAATTTCGAAATTTAGTTACCTTGGATTGTAGAAGATGGTGAACGGACTCCTGTTTGCAGCAGCATGAGCTGCAGCAGCAAGGACACCAATGTGCATGCTATCTGCTGAGAGAACTGATGATGGCAGTGTCGTCTGCTGACGATTTGCTCGTCTCACTCCCACCATTAACTGTGACTTCTCATCCCTGAAAATTGTGTTCAATCCAGTGCCATTAAGTTTCCAGGTGAGACAACAATGAATGAAAACCCAACAACCATGAAATATGAAGCATCAGTTTACCTGATGAACAAGACTGAATCTCCTGCTTTCAGCCTCTTTGATCCAACGAAAAGGCTCCAGCCAGTCGTGAGGAGGTGTCGTTTTGGCTGTCCTCGGTAGATGTGGCGAAAAGTCCAGGCATTGTCATGCAAGTCTCGAACAAGGAGCTCCTGAGTTGGAGGTTGCATTGTGTAATCCTGAACCAAAAAGGAATCACCCTTTTTAGGTTTATTTCTCTCATTCAAAAGGTAACTAAGAGATATTTTAGGTGGTGGACATTGGAAACTGACCAACTGAGGGAAGAGCTTCTCTGCAGCCCTCCTTGGTACTGAGAAGCCACCATGAGTGCTAGTATCACTTGCTGTCAGGGTTTTGCAGAAGAATTCGGTGGGATGTCTGCCGGCCTTCAATCCAAAGTCCGGAATAGGAAAGATATCTTTCTCCTACAAAGAGATGAATGAACACATCTGTCAAAAATAGGCAAAAGATAGCATTTTCTTCAAGTTAAATGAAAAAGGAGCTTACTGAATTGACCGGTTGAAGGCTCATTTGTGCATATATTTCATCCGTTTCTTTGTCTGCCTAATTAATGATCACAAAAGATAAGTAGTATCAAAGAGAAGAACACTGCAGAGGGAAAGTAAGAACCAAATGGATGGGGTAAAAATGGCATACATGCTGGGTCACATTGTGAACTTGGCACAGCAACTGAGATGGAAGGTTTGGATAGTTGGGGATTTGAGAAGTAGCACTTCTCTTTGTAGAAACTGCAACCTACATCACAGAAGCCCCAAAAAGATCAATCAACCAACAGAGCTTAATAACTTGCTTATCAAGCAATCACGAGTTGAGCCTCGAATTCATGCATTGAAAAATTAATGAAATTCGGAAACATTTTTGTTTTTGTGAGAAAAATTCGGAAACTTAAAAGAAGAATTTCCATGTACCAAACAAACAAAATATTGGTTTCCTTTTAAAAAAATTTAATGTCAAGTCGGTAAGACACAAGCTAAAATAAGATCTATAGTTTTATACTAGCAAATGGGAGAAGGTAGGAGCAAAATTAGCCGGGGAAAGAGCCATACACCAAAGAGCATGAAATGAGAGACACTTTGATTTGAGAGGGATGGCACTACCAACGACACAAAAGTCCAAACAAGATTGATGATAAATGCCAATAGAGATGTATAGGAAACTGCTCTCGTAGTAATAATATGAGAAGCTTAGCTAAATAAGGTTGACATTGATACTTGACCATTTCACCCAAAACCAAAAAGAATTTCCCCATCTCCTCATGAAAAAGACCTTGCCCTAGAAATCCAGCACCTCCACCAATCCAAATAAACGGCAAAAGCGCAGGAAATGACCTTCAATGAAAATGTATGAAACTGAAAACTGAAGCATTTATGAGAGAGTGAGAAAGTAACCTGTTCGCTGTGGCCCTGAGGGAAGTAATAGACGAGGCTTCCAACATGAGGCAAGGAAACTAGTGGGCCAGCACAGGCGTACCAGAGCTCTGTGTTTATTATCGCCTTACGGTTCCCTGAAGCCAAACCCAAAAGAGCAACAACAGAAACAGAATAAATCCCAATAGTACAACAAGATACCAGCAACATAACCCAGAAAGCGTTAAGGATGTTTCCAGCTCGTGCAATGTTAAAGATCACAGCTTTTTTTTTTAAGATAAAAAGATCCGAACTTTATGACAACAGACCAGCAGAATGATCCTGGATTTCTTTCAGAAGCTTCATTTCCTCAATGAGAGTCGTCGGCGGTTGTGCTCCGGCACCGACCAATCCGCCGCCACCTCCGCTGCCCTTCCCCTTTTCTTCAACGGACGCCATTTCTGCGGTGGGCTCTGTTTTCTTCAGTTCCTCTGTTTTCCGCTTCGACACTTGCTCTGCTTTTGGGACTCAAAATGATTCCGGCAAAGGCAATAGCAACTCAAAAGAAACCAACTCCATTACCCCGTTCTTCTCCTTCTTCTTCAGCTCAAAGCAACCAAAAGCATTTGCCTTTCAATTGCTCTGCTTCTCCTCTCTTCTCCGCGAATAGCAAAGGAGGAAGGGGAAAATAACAGGACTAAACCTCAGTCCAAGCCTTCAAATCAAAAGAAATGAACAAAAGACTGCTCTGCTTCAGAAGCACAGGAGGTCGAGGGATGACAAGGGAATCTCATGTTCACCCAAAAAAAGAAGGCTTCCAAGTGGTCACAAAAGAGAAACTTGTCTGTCTCTGTTTCTTCTTCAGCTGCTTAGACCAGAGGCAGAGAAGAGACAGAGAAAGAGAGAGAAGTAGAGAAAGTGAAAGAGAGGGGTCCAATCCAATCCCAATCCCCTCGCAGGCCCCCAATTCCGAAAGAGACCAACAAAAAAATCAATGGAAAACCCCTGCAAAAGGAGAGGAAAAAAGGGCTTCCTCTATGTTTTTACAACAAGGTGGGGCTATCTATGCTCTCCAACTATTCGACAAAAGTCCCCAAAGAAAACCCACCCACCCACCACCTCCATGAGTTCCTACACAAGCACGCCGATCAAAGCAATGAATCTTCCTTCCTTCTTCATTCCTCTCCTCCTGCCCTCCTTCTTCCTCTCGGGCTCCTTTCAAAATCCAGCCTTTCTCTCTCTTTCTATCTCAAAAAGAGGTCGACCTTTCACTGAAGTGAACCATTGGTGAACTCCTCCTCCTCCTCCTCTCTTTGTTTATGTTTCTGTTTGCTTTTTCAATAATAATAATAATATTCAGCTTGGGAAGAAGGGAAGTGGGAAAGAGTGTGCATGCTCTTATCCTGCGCTACACACAAACCACACACCTTTTCTGTATATGGCGATTCCGTTGCAGCTTTAAACTGTTTTCAGAGGCAGGAGGAGAGCAAGTACAAATTATTAAAATTTATTAAAGAAAGAAAATTGATGAATAGGGGGGTAAAGAGGAAAAGAAAGAAGAAAAGGTTTGTGCTTTTTTCTTACTTTCTTTTTGGGTTGTTAGCATGGCCAAGAAATGGTTGATTAGTACTAGTATCAGCCAAGGTTGTTAATTATGTATTTAGGCAGCTAGGTACAGTCAGCACCCTCTGAAATGATTGGAGTTTTGAGAGTGCAGATGTTTGGAGCCACCTATGATTTCTACATAGCAAACTGTCTGTTTCACTTGAGTACTAAACACTTGTATCATAATGGCATAAATGGAAGACTGTGACTTAAGGATGATGGGATGGAATGGAATGGTCAAAATGAGAGTTACTGCAGTCCTCTTCTATTTGTTGAATTACTAATTTTATGTGATAGTTATTAAAATTTGATGTAGAAATAATTTCAACCATTCAAATTAAAGATAGTAAATTGGTGATTGCACATTTTGTCGTACTAGTAAAAATTTTGAACAAGAGATTTCATAGTTATTATTATAATTCATATGAAGTCCAATTTGCGATCTCCTCAACCAAATCAAATTAACAGGGGTTCTCACTTCTCAGTTCGCATCACAATTCAAGTGCGACATGTTCTCAGGAGTAACTTTGTTCTTTTTTTAATAATAACTTTGTTCTATTTGGAGTAACCTGGAAGTTAATTTAGGGGTCGTTTGCTTGTTGGATTTGAGTCATGGATTTGGTACCTAAATCCCAAGTTTGATGGATTTAACACAAGTCCATTGTTTGTTGATGGGTGTCAAATCCGTGGGGTCCACGGATTTGGTCTTTAATTTGGGACCAAATCCGTGGACCCCACGGACTTGTAAATCCCACATATTTGTTTGGGATTTGTAAATCCATGATGGTTGGGTCGTTTGCTTCATGGATTTGAAAAATGAGGGTTTTGGTAAAACCTGGGTTTTGAAAAACCATGGATATATGATGGATTTGGTGGCATTATGGATTTGAACAAGTCTATTGTTTGCTTGATGGATTTGATTATGGATTTTGTTTGATTAGATTTGTGGATATTAAATACAAATTACCTAGTTACCCTTATTTAGTTATATTTCTATATTATAATCCAAATATTTCATTTAAAACTAATGCAAAACATAGAAAGAAATTTTAAACCCTTTACCACTATATGGATTAATAATTCAACTACAAATATAAAAATGTATTACAATTTGGCACTAATTAACAATTCATCTTGGCACTAATTAAAAATTCATCTAATAATCCTTCATATAAAAAACAATTCATCTAATAATGTACGCAATATTATGTATCAATTGCAGCCAATTGCTCGCTTTATTGCTACAACTCATCATCTTCTTGCTAACTCACCGATGTGGAATCCTACAATCAATCAAATAATAATGTACAAGATGAGCATAAAGCGTTTCTAGGTGAATCTAACAAATCACATATACATTCATATTTAAATAAAATACGATATTACAAAATGAAATGATAAATTCTCATATTTATAAAATACGAAATTATAAAAGTTTACAGTTGCATGACCATTGAATTAAAGTAGGACAAATTTGTAATTAAAGAAATAATGAAGGGTAGAAAGGTAACTTACCATCATGGATTTTAATCCATCACCCAAATCCCACCTCAAGAGGTGGAACTTCCAAGTCCGTGGGGTCCACGGATTTGGAACCCCAAAAGTGGTGGGCTCCACAAATTCCATCTCCCTAATTCCTTAAGGCAAACGATGGATTTCGGTGCAAGTCCATGATGGATATATTTCCATGACCAAATCCATGACCAAAACCCTCAAGCAAACGACCCCTAAGTGACAAATCCATCATAAATCCATTATCAATTCTATCACGCAAACACTAGACTTTTCAAATCCATAATACAATAAATCTCTCATGAATCCCAAGGTTTTTGTTGCACAAAACTTTCATTTTTCAAATCCAACAAGCAAACGACCCCTTAGAACTGGCGCTGCTGGGTGGCGGCAGAAGTACTACTTGGGCTAGCTGGGTTTTTTTTTAAACCTTGGGCTTGCTTGTTGTTCTTAGTAAATAATAATAAATTGAAGGCAGGAGAGCACATAACATAAGAGATGAGATTTGGAGGGGAGCTGCCAAATAAGACTACTGCAGAACGAAACCACAGTTAAAATAATATGAAACATGTCGTGGTAAAACCGTAAGAGAACAAACAGAACAGCAGTAAGAAAATGATGTTAGTAAAAAAAGTTATAGGTATAATATGCCCTTAACTATGACGTTTTATCAAACATGCCCCTCTACTATTTTTTACATAAAATATGCTCATGTACTTTGAAAAAATTATCAAACATGCCCTTATGTTCAAATTTCCATTGAAAAAATCGTCAAGCATGGTTGAATTGAGATTTAGACAACCCGACATTGGCAAATGGGAGGGAAAATGTCAGTTTTGTCCCCTGTTTTATTTCCCTGGGTATTTTCAAAGTGAAATTATTTGAATGATTTGATTATACAAAAGAACCAAAAAAGTTCTAAAGTGAATTTATTCGGGATATTTTAGTCATTTGTGTCGCCCAAACTAAAGTCCGGCCTTGATTAACGGTTTTTGGATAAAAATTTAAACAGAAGGGCATGTTTGATAATTTTTACAAAGTACAGGGGCATGTTTGATGTAAAAATAGTAGATAGACATGTTTGATAAAACGTCATAGTAGAAGGGCATATTATACATATAACACTAAAAAAATGATGGAAATGATAATTAATATATTATAAATTCGGCTTAATTGCAAGTTTGGTCACTGGAATTGCTTAAAATTTTTATATTTGCCACTGGAATTACTTTATTCCATCCGTAGTCACTTAAATTAGTTCATCAGTTCAAGTTTGGTCACTCTCCGTTAGTCTCCGTTATCTTTGACTGACGTGGCAGTCAACTCTGAGAGTTGACCGTTAAACAAGTGACGTGGCAATTTAAAAATTAAAAAAATAATATTTTAAAAGTGCCACCTCATTATCACAATAAAATAAAAAATACATAAAACAAAATATAATTATAATTACAAATAATAATTCAACCTGATTTTTCCTTCTCGCTGCGGGAGTGGAAATCGGCGGCAACTAGTTCAAGGAGAAGGGAAGAGCTCTGGATCATTAAAGCTCGCATTGTTCAGCGCCCTCTGTTTATGCTGCAGCGGAACAGGGGAGCTCTATTTTCACCGGGAGCAACTGGGCGGCGTCGGCACATCAATTGCCTTCTCCTTGTCCTTCCTTTTGCTTCCGGACTTCCTCCGAACGTAAACCGGAGACGGCTCCCAAACATCATCGCCACCTGATACACTTTCAGGCATGAGGAACTAACCACGGAAAAATTAAATCCGACAAAACCCTAGGTTCCCAAAACCGATTTCAGAACAAGCAAATCGACCAAGGCGGAAGAGAAAACCCAAAATTACCGACGGTCGAGGATTGATTGCGCTGTGGGCGAGCAGGCGTGGAAGTGGAGGGTCCTAGAACCGCGCTGGTAGTGGATCCGGCCGTGGATGGAACCTTATCGAGATGGGTCTCAGTGGGATTCGGATTGTCGCGGGAATGGAGAAGCTGCGAAGAGGAGGGAAACGATTTCAAGGGTTTCTTGAGAAGGTAAGAGGAAGACGAAGTGGAAGAACAGCTTGCAGAGGAGCCGACGGGTACAAGGGTGTTGCTGCGATCAGAGCGCGGCTCCCTTCTTCTAGCGCTGCTCCTAATTGTATTTCTGCGTTGAGCTTCCATCGATGCTGAGGGATTTTCCATTTTCCAAGCAGATTACAAACCGATTTTCCATTTTCCGCTGCAGCATAAACAGAGGGCGCTGAACAATGCGAGCTTTAATGATCCAGAGCTCTTCCCTTCTCCTTGAACTAGTTGCCGCCGATTTCCACTCCTCCCGCAGCAGCGAGAAGGAAAAAATCAGGTTGAATTATTATTTGTAATTATAATTATATTTTATTTTATGTATTTTTTATTTTATTGTGATAATGAGGTGGCACTTTTAAAATATATTTTTTTATTTTTAAATTGCCACGTCACTTATTTAACGGTCAACTCTCAGAGTTGACTGCCACGTCAGTCAAAGATAACGGAGACTAACGGAGAGTGACCAAACTTGAACTGATGAACTAATTTAAGTGACTACGGATGGAATAAAGTAATTCCAGTGGCAAATATAAAATTTTTAAGCAATTCCAGTGACCAAACTTGCAATTAAGCCTTATAAATTCGAATAAAGAAAAGGAGGGGGAAAGTTGGATGAGGCGTAGGAAATGAAACGAGCGAAGAAAGAAATAATGTGAAGGTGGCGTATTTTAGCACGTGGATTACGTGGAATTACAACCAAAAGTGGTAACCATTTTTTTTTTTGGCTTTGCTGCGGTTCAAGGTTGTCAACCCACTTTGATCCTGATTCGATGAGAAAAATGGGTTGCATGACATTCATCGGATCGATCGCTACAAAGTATCGGTTTGGAGGTCAAATTGTGTCATTTTTTTTGGTTTGCGAAATGCGCCTATTTTCCGAATTTTCTTTTCGCCTAACTGGATCGTTGGAATCCTTATTCGAACATTTGAATATTGATGTTATATAAGTGTGTATGAATTTTCACTATATGTTGGATCTAAATACAACTTTGTTAATTTGGTGTAATGTTATATGTTAGTACTCATATGTTAGATGAGATTTGATATAATTTATCATGATATAATATAATGACTTTTTTCATATTTCCAGGCAGAAGCGGATTAAAACGGGTGACCCTTTAACCCTTGGGTCTTGACCCACTAGCTCAATCGGGTCAGGATCAACCCGCGGGTTGACAACCTTGCTGCTTTATTATATTCTGGATTATGAGGATTTTCTTTTTGTAATTTCTCAGTCTGAGAATTTCCACCAGCCTTAGTATCGTTTTAGTTCTGTCGTAAGTCTTCTTTCATGGTTTGGGTTATTTTGACGGTAATTTCTGTTCATAAACGGGAATTCAGATCGAGGAAAGGAAATGAAATGGCACTCTGTCTCTTTCTCTCTTTAGATCTCGATTGACTACACCCGTGCCGTGATGGCCTTGGCTTGCTTTTAAACCCTCGGAAAATCCATAGTACGAAGCCAGGCTCTCTTTACTTCTTCGTACCAAAGGACAAAAGTAAAAGGCTGGTTTCTTTGATAAACTCGAAAATTGATAAAAGCTTGGCGTAATCGACATGTCTCAAAATGTAGCAACTCAAATTGTAAACTCATGTTATGGTTTGGTATTGTGACGAGACCGACAAGTATTGTGAAGAAACCAACAATCCAACAAAGCAATAAAGTAAATGAACAAGCTTTCTATTATTTCAGTTCAGTGGCTTGTCAAATAAAAATATTACCAACATTTTTTTTGTTTACTCAACAACTACGATAATTGGAAGAGAAAAAAAATTGCCGGATCTTTGCTCTCGAATTACCATTTTGTTTATCATCCTCTCCATCTCTCTGCTTTCGAGAGGCAACCCTATGCCATCTTTTGACTTGCTCATTTGATAGCAAGAAAAAACCTCTCTTTGTCTTGTGAATTGTTGTAATAGACTTTGTTATATTTTTCTAAAGTCATTTATATGAACAACATAAAAAAAACAATTGAATAACTTAATAATTAATGCATCAACTCTCAACCATGCAGGGCAGTTAGGACAATATTATAGTTTTAAGTATATCTACTACACACATAGCTAACCATGTAGGTTTAGTTTTCCTTAATATTTGGACAGACTTAGCTAATTGGTCCCAACTACACTAACTACGATAAAACTGCCTCCTAACCACTCTACAACTTATGATAATACCATCAATTTGAAGTATGAAATTCTAAATGCAAATATGGTTAGCGAACTAACCATTTGGTCCCAATAACTCGAGTTTTTGGAAAAGGGATAGTTAAACCTTTTAATCTCTTATACGCCCCCTTAAACGAAAGCATATCTTTTTTTTTTTTTTGGGTTTTCTTATACGGTTTGCACAGGTTGAACGTATCATTCCTTGTGCTGAGAAACCCATTCGGCTTTCAGTTTGTACAGGTTGAACGTATCATTCCTTTTTAATCTCTTACACGCCCCTTCAAACGAAAGTCGATGCCGAATTGTGGATTTTTACGGTTTGCACAGGTTGAACCCTTATGCTGGCAAACCACGAGGCTTTAGTTTGTACAGGTTGGACATACCATCCCTTGTGCTAAACAAATGGCTGAATTATTGGGGGTCGTCATGAGGATTCGAAACCATGACCTTTCGGTTCTAGGCTCTGATACCATGTGACGAACAAACCACTTGGTACCAATAACTCGAGTTGTTGGGAAAATGTTAGTTAAGCCTTATAATCTCTTATAAATACTGAAATATACCTTCAATAACATGTCCCACTACAAGTATAAAATATAGGAATTATGTATTATATTTTACCTAACATATAGTATATCATAATTAACTAAATATTTTTTTAAATGACAGCTAATTGTATTTGAAGATTTCTTAGACTTATCATACCTTCGTACATTCACTAAATTAATACGAGTTATCAAAATTGGAACGTATACCTTTTTTTACAGATGATATAATGTCAAGAGTAAGTTGGCTAGCTCACGTGAAGGTAAAAGATAAAGATAAATATGTAGGAAATAAGAGTTAGATGACCAGTTGTCGAGTAACATGAAGTCAAGGTATCATAAAATGTTATTTACCCTCCCAAATGTCTTTCGGTGCATTATTCTTATCTTTTTCCCTTTTTGTTTCTTCTCGTTGAAAATTGAAATTAGTTTTTTTGCTTATTATTACAATTCTTTTTTTTTTTTTTTTTGGCTGCGGTCTGAAATATTTGACCATCCATTCATCACGCGTGCGGCTCACGACAAGTTAGGCCCCACCGGTTCCTGACTCGGGTCGCCACTCTGCTGTTGGACCCGCCCACGCTGCCGTTTTGGGACTTCCCACTCAATTAAGTTTTCACCGACTTCTCCTCCTTAACATTAATCAGCTACGCACCAACTCACCCTACGCTTGATTTAAGCCCCCCAACCGTAACAAATCCATAACCGTTTGATTCCCATAAAACGAATGTTGATTGGCAGATAATGTACACGCTCTATGGTCTATAGAACCTATAGGTCTTGTTTGAAACTTTCAATTCCAAATGTTGTGCTGAGTATAACTATATTCCGCAGAATATAACATTGTTTACTTGTTTTAATCGTATAATCATGTATAGCGAACGCATGATGTATTCATAATACATAGAAAATTATGTACACTTAATCTCACTTTTTTTATGAGATTTAATATTCAGAGTTCATTTCATATATAAAATCCATACATTCTTTTATATTTTCTAAACAAAACATTCTTAAAATCCACACATTTTTATTATACGCATAAACTTAATACACTTTGTCAATACACAATTTCCGGAATCAAAAGTTTCAAATGACCCCTAAGAGATTTGTGCGAATCACATCAATGATATTTTTTGTTGTTGACAATTCCGCTTTATTATAGGAGTTAATCTCGTGGGGTAGAGATTTGTAGTACCATAGTGAATTATGCTTTTTGATTGCTCATTTTGCACATAAATCATAACTAATTTCGATCGTGCTATGAAGTAATTTAAGTTAGCGCGACTATTTTTATAAGTCAATTAGATGATAGTCTGATTTCATCCGTTTTTCGTAAATTGTAGGATGATATCTTTAATGCATTTATTATTGAATTACTTTATAGCAACAAAACATGTTCTTTAACCGATAGTCTAGTTACATACAGACTTCCACATGTGTTTGAAAATAAAAAGTCTTGTAATTCGATCTTTGTACTTGTACCACACTCCCTGGGCTTGCCTTAAGAAAATAATGCATACAATCACCGAACTTTGATGGTTACTTCCTCGTTTTCTATTGTCTTCAAATAGACATGTCTTTTATTTCTGGTATACATATATATCCAAATTATCCATTATCCACAATTTAGTTAACACCAAAATGTCATTCAAGCTAGCATTTCATAATTTCAATAATAATTAGAAAGACAACGAAGGAAAGGAAATAACAGAGACGTGTACATCATCTCATTTCCTCAATGTAAATTGGCAAATTATGTGGATTTTCCTAGGCGGATATGTAAATTTTGGTATGCTTTGTTTTCTCTATCATATGTTTTTCTCATTAATTCGCCTGCACGACTAGATACATTTGTAGTAATTGTTTGTCTTCAATTGAAAATTAAACAGGTGGTTTGAAAGTTTGGAGAAATATATAAACCTTAACGAGTTAATCAACGTAATACTAATATAGTACATATTTTTCTTGACAACTCAAATTATTAGTACTAATTGGTTATTCGTATAGGAGATACTTGATTTAAACACAAGATTTAGCGCCGCAAGTTTCAATCTTATTACAAAATATGATGACATGTAAGAAATCATATAAAAATGAAAAACTACATGAATTAGCTACAACGATAATTATTGAGTTGATTCGTTAGTGAAGATACCAACTATAAGCTATAGCTATAATATCTTTTAAAAGTACAATTAAAGTAACTCATTATTTATCGTGTCATTTTAAGGCAAATTTTATCCGTTCAAGCAAAAACTATATTAGTCCTTTCGCCAAATTTTTATATAAAGGCTAATATTCCATGAGCATGATAAGATTAGGGCTAAAAGGCGGGTTAGGCCAATTAATTATTAGTACCTTTCATTGACAAGATGGGAGCAAAAGGATAAGGGCGAAATGTTACATGCGCAGATTGGAGGGACGTGCCCATACGTACGTTGAGTATATACAAAAGGGAAAGATGGGCATAATATATTGTTGGCTACGTAGGGTTGGTCGGGGGAATG